CTTTTGGTTTTGTCTCTTCGGTGTGTGTGTGTTGGGCGGGGGGGGAGAGAGTGGTGGTGGTGGTGGTGTTTGGGGTGTGAATTTTATGTGAATAAACTTGAATTCATGCCACTTACACTTTTGCAAAATAAATTATAAAGTTGTTTTGAACAAATATCCCATTACCGATACCAGATTAGATCTTTTACATGAGTAAGTATCACATCCAATACAGGGCACCAGGGAGGTCATGATTTATGGAAATTAATTTCAAGATAACATGTCTATTCACACTTCACAGTCAACTGGCACAGCGAGGCTGTCCATAAAGAGACATATTGTTTCCCGACGCGACCATGTAATATGCACACTTAGTCTAGGTGTAGATAGAAACTGCTGTCAGATGTAAATATGGCAATGAGATAATCCATCAGATTGTTAGACCTCACGCCTGTGCCTTTTGGAAGCTAACTCCATCAGACCCTTCCGTCAAAAAGTGTGTAAGTTTGGTCTTATGACGCTTTAAGCAATATTCCAGCAATATCACGGCGGGGGGACACCAGAAATGGGCTTCACACATTGTACCCATGTGGGGAATCAAACCCGGGTATTCGGCGTGACGAGCGAATGCATGACCACAGGGCTTATCCAACGCCTTGCCTTAACAGGAAGAGTGAGTGAGTGAGTGAGTTTGGTTTTGCGCAGCTTTTAGCAATATTCCAGCAATATCAAGGCAGGGGACACCAGAAATGGGCTTCACACATTGTAATCATGTGGGGAATCGGACCCAGATTCGGCGTGACGAACGAACTCTTTAACCACTAGACTACCCCACCTTCTGCTTCCATCAAAGAGTGAGTGAGGGAGTATTTTTTGCGCTGCTTTTAGCAATATCACAGCGTGGGGACGCAAGAAATAGGCTTCATACATTTTCCTCATCGGAATCAAACCGCTTTACAGAGTAAACTACCCCACCATCCCCTAACATACAAGGACACTTCACTACATACCATCTTCCGGGGAAAACAAAGCAGTAAGGGGAACTGACAGCGTATTCCGGAATTGTACGTGATGTAACATAATCTGCAAGGCATCCCTCCAGACAACTTGCGCCAGCCATGGTGCAATGCTATACCTCTAGGGAAGGAATGGTTGTGTTTAATGTGTCTTCAGCGTTGGCAGCTGTCATTAAAGTCATTATATCACGTGATATTGTGTTTCAATGGCTTCAAAGTCGTTTCCAGACATTATTGTGTAAATAAAACAGTTGATCATCCATAAAGTTTTGTCATCTCTGTACCACCAACTTCTAGAATGCCACTCAAACAAATCATTGTAACTTCTCTCACTCAAAACATTTACTAATCTATAACACATTGACTGATATACTGGCAATGTCGAAGATCCCCAAGGCACGAGTTTGTCCACAGTATAGAGTATACATTCGGTTTATGGTCATGGAACCCAAACTGCACCAACATCGAACTTTTATGTGTATCTGCCAGGGACCAGTGAGTGCAGTCGACTATATTGTATAATATTTCATCACAGGGGCGGTGGGGTGGCCTCGTTGTTAAGGCGTTCGGTCGTAAGGCCCGGGTTCGATTACCAACATGGGTACAATGTGTGAAGCCCATTTCTGGTGCCTTCCGCCGTGACATTGCTTGAATATTGCTAAAAGCGGGGTAAAACTAAACGCACTCACTCACAATTCATCACAGCCTGTAGGTGAGAGAGTGAGTGAGTGACGCGACGAGCGAACGCCTTAACCACTAGGCTACCCCACCGTCCCCTGTAGGTAAGAGAGTTTGGACTGAAGGAACCAGTAGTCGATAGCATGAGAAACGATCATGATGGTCTGTATAGTGTACCAACTGGATCCTCACTTTTTCGGTTCTTACAATACATACGATGACCATTAATGCCAAGGGGTCATAATGTAGACCCCTTATTTTATTTTTTCTGTGAGTGAGGATGGTTTTATGCTGCTTTTAGAAATATTCCAGCAATATCACGGCGGGGTTCACACATTGTAGCCATGTGGGGAATCGAACCCGGTCTTCAGCATGACGCTTTAACCATTAGGCTGTCCCTTTTCTTCTGTGAAAATGACGCAATATTTCAGGAAAAATCATGAAAGGTTTGACACTAGAAAATAAACTCTGACCCTTGTTTAAACTTTTTGATTTGGACAAGAAAGATATAATATTTGATAAAATCAAAAACATTAAAGGCACCAGTTCAACAGTTGCCTGATGTACATACAAAGTTTTATCATTTTATCAGGGCCAAAATATTTGTTACAGAGTGAAACGCCCTGGGGTTGAGCAGGAACTCCGCTTACCTCATTTATGTCTGAGCCGGCAACCCAGCTCATTTCTGTGCTGTATACTTGTTTGCCATATCTTGTGTAACCAACTAAAGAAGTTTGAACTCACTCCATCACTTCGTCTTCGTCAATTCGTCTGAATTATGAGCTAGTTCCACTGTCGACGACATATCTACGCGTTGACATATTTTTCTCCGGGTGTTTTGAAACTATTGTACAAGTTAAGTACTAGTTCAGTATAATTATCCTAAATTCAACACAATGGCATCAATGTTGCACGGTGATCGACTCCACAACTAGAAAGTACTACAATATCCATAACGGGAGCCAGACAGATGGGACGTCCTTGATGGTCTGTTTAATGTTTGCTTGTTCTTTAATGCCCCACTCAGCAATATTCCAACTATACCATAGCAATCTCTGTCAATAAACAACTATACACCAGACATGACCATTGATCCAGGCTATTAGGACACAATGACATGCAACTACCAACTGATGAGCCTGACCACCCAATCCCGTTAGTTGACTTTTACGACAAGACTAAAGTCTAAGTCTGTTTTATGGGTATAGCAGGTTCATTTAAACCTAACTAATCAATGGCCTGTCTTGTTACTTGTAAGGGACGGTAGGAATAGCAGTATTCAACATGAAAGGAAACCCATAAATCCTTATAGTTAAAGGCACTAACTTTTTATGTCACACCACACTTCTCTAAAACTAGTGTGTGAGTGAGTTTAGTTTTACGCCGCACTCAGCAATATTCCAGCTATATGGCGGCGGTCTGTAAATAATCGAGTCTGGACCAGACAATCCAGTGATCAACAGCATGAGCATCAATCTGCGCAATCCTCTAAAACTAAATAATGCATTTCTCTCAATAATACTATCAACCCTCAGGGAAGCTACCATGCAATCTATTAAAAATGAATTACGTATTTATGACCCTCTCGATCCCCTCTGTCCCTTTGACACCTTATAGAGAGTGAGTGAGTTTAGTTTTACGCCGCACTCAGCAATATTCCAGCTATATGACGGCGGTCTGTAAATAATCGAGTCTGGATCAGACAAACCAGTGATGAACAGCATGAGCATCTATCTACGCAATTGGGAGACGAGGACATGTGTCAACCAAGTCAGCGAACCTGACCACCCAATCCTCTTAGCCGCCTCTTACAACATCAATATTCTTTCTAGCCCGGATCTTCACGGGTTTGACACCTAATAAGAAATTATCAGAACCTTACGCCTGCCTGCATGTGCATGCCTGTCTTCTTGTGCTGGTTCAATTTACCGCTGGCTAGCCCACTGAGATGCCATGCCACAGTTTAAAATGGATATTCCACACAGACACAGAATACCGATCCCATCAGTCCTTGGTTTACCCCTTTCATGCTGAACAGCCAGGGTAACAACAAGTACCATCTTTTAACATATTTAGTATCATGTGGACACTGGTCAATCCGACCTGCCCTTGTTTCATCCTTTTCATGCTGAACAACAGCCAGGGTAACAGTAAGTACCATCTTTTAACATATTTTTAGTATCATGTGGACACTGGTCAATCCGACCTGCCCTTGTTTCATACCTTCCATGCTGAACAACAGCCAGGGTAACATCTTTTAACGTTTTGGGTATGAAGTGATGATATAATCCCAGATTAACAAATTAAGAAGGATGAGTTGATATATGATACTTATCTAGAAACCTTCAAGCTTCTACTGGGGCGGTGGGGTAGCCTAGTGACTGAGATGTCGCTAGTCACCCGAAGACCCCGGTTCGATTCCCCACATGGGTACAATGTGTGAATCCCATTTCTGGCGTCCCCACCCTGATATTGCTGGAATATTGCTAAAAGCTGCTGAAAACCAAACTCACTCACTCACTCAAGATTCTACTGAGGTCACTTAATCCACCAATTAGCCACAATTGGTTTACGCATGACTATCTGCTCAAAACGGATGGAGATCGACCTCCTAAGTGTCTCTTGCGATGAGGTGTTCACCATCAATCATATTCTGCTTGACTGTGAACTTTTCAAATGCAAGGGATTCACATTTAATTATGAAGCAATAAATATGAAAGATCTGTTTTCCTGCTTTTCCTGTATCTCACTGTTAACTACTTGAGGGAAGTTGACCTGTATCATATTCTCAACAACAAAAAGTTAAAGACCACCCCAATATTCAATATTTAAGTATTATATGGATCATAATATAAACTATTAAATACTTTAATATTAAAAATTAGGGTGGTCCTTAACTTTTCTGTTGAGTATGTATTGTAATTTGTAATGTGAATGACGGATTGTTTGTTCATGAATTTGGTGACTTTTTCTGTTTGTAAATAATAGTGTAATGATTAAATATGTTTTTAAGAAACTCTTTTCAACTTTGTAACTTAAAATGTGTATGTGAGGTGAGGTGAAATTGGGTTTAACGTCGTGCTTGAGAATATTTCGCTCATATGACGAAAAATGTGTACGTACACAGATTTCGTCTCATCACTATATGGCTGAAATAATGCTCTTCAGGCAAAATTAACTCAACTCAACTAACCCACCAAAGGATCAGGAAAGTGATCATGCGACTGCATGAAACTTATATCTCAACATGAAGATATCGTACTGTTATATCTCCTCTTGAAACTACTGTTGAAACTAGAAATGGAACAGAGAATGACACAACAAAAACATGTTTCAATGGTGCCATTTATCTTAGGTGTCAAGAGTTATCTCCCATATACTAAAGCTCAACCTGACTTGATTGATCATTACTGATTAGATATTTAAAGCTTACATCTGCATACTTGACGTGATCATCAAGAATAGAAGTAATAATGTTGGTATTTGTTTGAAAATAGGAACAGTAATGAATAATATCTTATTCAACAGTTTATTTACTTTCCATAAAAAAAGACCAACAAGGTTTCTGTAAATCTTAAACCTGTCAGGCAATGATTGTCAAAACTCCAGTAAATGTGTATATGGCCCATTGGTATCACATGAAAAGACCTGTCTGTTCCCATAAGTACCGGCTTGGACAACACATCCAGCTTCTCTGGAACCTTCAGCCTCCTGTAAGGTAGTTCGACACAGAGATACGAAGTCTGCGTACAAGGATGCGCCTTCCTCTTTATCAATGTTTTTGTGATACTGCATTCTCTTGCCCTTCAGTGCTCCACCAAGTGTTGCCTGTGGAATGATGAGGATGTTCCCAGGGAGGTCTAATATAGAAACACGTTTCCCTGCAGCAGACTCACTTAACTTGGCCGACAGCGCACACTTCACTACAACCGACAACATTTACTGTTACTTCTCTTTTATAGAAAATTTTATTACAGGGATATCAGTATTATCTTTTCACCTTGTGTATATTGTGGACTAAAAATCAACACCAGCATCTAATGGAATGAACGAAATATGATGTCACCATAAGCAGAAATATGCCAAAATTCAGCCTCACTACAACAAACAGCATTTACAATTACATGTACTTCACTTTGAATTAAATATTATAACAGTGATATCACTTTTTTAATTTGATGATGTGTACATTTCACTGAAATTAATATGCTCACATTTAACACAATGGTTAAATACCAACAGTTCAGTTGATTCCCTGTCATAATACACTTTATCTAAGATTCATTATGAAAGCTTACGTCTGAATAATGGCAATAAATATGTTTTTAACATGACTTCAAATATTTGAACCTTTTGAAAAGATAAAACCATTATAGGTGAAAACAATGACGTTGTCTTCCAAGTTGAAAAATATTACCCATTTTATCAAGGATATCAGCTGTGGCTCCTTTCAGAAAACACACATACATGACAAGTCCTTTTCCAGTCTGAAATGTAACATATCCATGAATACCTGTTATGAATAGTAATGAATAGACAGACGATGCTGTATTACAAAAAGTAATGTATTTATTTTAATATTTGTTTGAGTGAGTGAGTAGTTTTTTCACCACTTTTAGCAATATTCCAGCAATATCATGGCAGGGGACAACCGAAAAGGGCTTCACACACTGTACCCAAGTGGGTTATCAAACAAGCCATTAGCCTACCCCAGTATTTATTTAATGTTTAATCAGTCAGCACAATTCTGTAGTTTGGACGTCAGACAACGCTGATAAGATTGGATGAAGAGTGGCAGGAAGCAGAATAGAACCATAAGCATGTTGCTTCCATACTAATGGATATATCGAAGGCTTTTGATAGTCTACCTCATTTCTTGTTAGTGGTGAACAAGCAGCCCTAGGTTTCCTGTGTGGCTATCTCAGGAAACAGCAACAGATTGCAACAGCTGGCTTTTTAGCATTAAGGACTGCATTTTAGGCATTGTTCTATTTAACATATATCCATATATATATGATGTATACATTCTCTGGTTGACACTTCAAATAATTATGCAGATTCAATGTCCTATTTTTCAAATTGAGCCTAAGAGACTAATTCCTTTTATCCAAGACTCCAAAGCAATGTTCTGTGGACAACATGGTCCTAAACAAGGCTAACTCACAGTAGCAAGCAACTGACTGAGCCATTAAATGTGTTGGCCTATATAGGCATATGATAATTGATCCTCTATTTCAGGCATTCTTGGACAATAATCAAGTCCCTAGTTGTTTTACTGAGACAAAATTTATAAACATGTGCCTCACAAAATATGAAAGAAAACTAATGCTGTTCTACCCTCTGAGTTCTGTTGACAATCATACAAAAAAAACTGACAATCAACATGTCCAAAGAATACACTGATATTTATTATCGTATTATGGGTTTTCAGACGTTTAAGAACATCAGATGTTGTCTCGATTATCACATGAACAATCGTAAAACATGTCACTATATTATTAACGACAACTTTATCTTAAACACAAGTCATCAGAAAATACAAGGACTGGCTTGATCTCTGCAATCACGTTTGTCATATACCTCAACATATTTTGCTTCAGTGTCCTCAGTGGCAGGCTGTACTTGTAAACGAGCGGATAAACATTGCTGTAAAACAATTCGAGCATTACTTCCCTGCCCACTCGCCATTACAGGTTATACCCAGCACACATAGATCTAATAAACCTTGGCAGATGTCCAGAAAGAGCGTCTGCATCCAAGGGAGATAACTTTATTATGCGTACATATACTATACATAGATAAACGTATTAGATTAAAACTACAGTTGAAATCCATTACCAATACATGCTAAAATTATTTAAACGATACTGTAATGCGAAGCATCCAAAAAGAGAGAAGTTTGTTGTTGAAGAAAAGCTCAGTCTCATTCGTCCACATCATAGGCGACTCAAGATGGCAGCTCCCACCGGGCATGACCGATCACGCCGTCCTAGCGAAGAAGAGGAAGAAGATGACCCAGTTGAGACAATGTTGAAGAAAACAGGCTGCGCGGAGTTGCATTATGCTGTTCAGGTGTGTGATGTGGAGTATTGCATTTCCAGGGCGCACATTTTCATTGTTCAGTCAGTCTCGTCAGGAGGATCCAACTTACTTTGCAAACTTGATTGCAAAGCTTTGCTGTTGAATGAGCAAATCTGATTAGCCATTTAACTTTTACCACTTCCTCTATCCCAACTTGGGTTTAGGAGAGCTGTGTGAGAATGATCAACTGTCCTTGAGTGCAGAGCATATCAGAAACCGTACAGTATTTCAACCCTATTTTGGTGTAGGACGAGTGGAAAGGTCATTCACACCAGTACGCAGGAGATCACGTAGCACTATAGCTGTTACCAGATGTTTTCAAACTTTATGTTTTGTCAACCATAAATTGGTTATTCACTCGGTGTAGTAATGTAAAACTGTTATCACGGTTGTCCTCTTTGGACATGTCAATTGAGAACATTATCACCGTCTCTATATATAAATTTAAAGTAAACCCATCATCTGTGTACATGTGCAGTATGGACCTCTAGACATCTCATGATGGTGCTGGCCTCTCGTGTTTTCTAAAAAACTGACAACAACCTGAAGGTACTGGTACAACATTGTATCATTTCACCACTCTAATGTTTAGCAGTATATCCACAAGTGAATGTCAGCCACATGTTTAAGTTAAAATGTGAAAATGTAATTTTGTTTTGTTTCATTATCATGGTCATATTGCACAAAAAAAACACTCTTGATTTTTTCAGGAATGTATGGCGGAAACAAAGGATTGGCGCCTGTGTCAGGATAAAGTGAAAGCTTTCCGCAAGTGCATCGAGAATAGCATGCTGAATCAGGTTCCTAAGAGCTGACCGCGACTGGGCATGCCCTGCTCAGAGATGTTGAACTATTCATCCATCTATTGCAGTTCAACGAAAGGACCTAGCATTCTACATTGTTCGAAGGACACACTTGTATCTGGAATATTGTTCTATTTAATATATCATGCATATTGTGTATGTTCAAAATAATGTTAGATGTTGATGGAGGTAGTTCTTTAACAGTTGAAGAGTCTCTCATCACCTAACAACAAATAGTGTTCTACATTGCCAAGTGATACTGTGAACTACTATCTTCAGAAACATGGTAACAGCACACACAATGAGGTTAATTGTATGAGGAATCAACAGATTTATTAAAGGTTTTCTATTTTTTTGTCCTGTCTTGATCAAGACTTTATTAATCGGTTTATTTACAAGACCTGTAAGGTTGGTAAACATGTCTTATACATCATACAGTTACTACCAAATCAAATCATTACAAAAATCAAATGGCAATCCCAGCGACCTTGGACTATTGTGTGATGCAGTATTGATTCATTAGGAAAACTGCTTCAATTTCCAGTTCATCATCTATTAAAAATGTCACAGGGTTGTACAGGATGTACAATGTTATGTCCAATAAGCATTAAAATCAGAAAGAACACCCATGATTTCTCCTACACATGCCAAGAAGTGAGTAGACTTTAAACATCACATTCAGCAATATCACAGTGGGAGAAATAGACCTCACAAGATGTGGACAATATATCAGTGTCTTTGGCATAGTTGCAGCAATGGTAGCATATCAGACAATCCAGTGATCAGTGTCATGAGCATTAATCTACCCAAATGGGATACGATGACCTGTGTCAACCAAGTCAGCAAGCCTGACCACCCGATCCCGTTAGTCGCCTCTTATGACAAACATGGGTTGCTGAGGGTTGTATGTTTTTGTATAGAACATTGACTTTTCCGTCAATATATTCTATTTGGAAACATCAGCGACCAGGTGTGTGTGTATAACAGCTACAACTTAAGCAACCAGATGAAAATCAAGCAAGCCTGGCAAATTATGACATCCTGCTGTTTGTTTTGACAGTCGGAGATAGTGAAGTACTCAAAGTTGATTTTTATTGTTATCAGTAAAAACAGTGCAGTGCCTAAGACATCATAACTTCTGCAACTCTACACTACATTTAAAAAACAAATTACCAGTAATGATTGATTTACATAAATATTATCTACTGTGATGACATGGTCATCAATTCAGTCAGATTATCTGATTTGTTTTAGCAATTTGAAACCCAAGATCAAGTATTATTCCCAGTTTTGGCAGAATACACAATAGCCATGCCCAGACATAGTTTACTGCGATTCTATTTTCTGTTTATATACAAAACAATGAAAGAAATGTACTATTTCTTCTTCTTTTCAAAGCTTAAAAACAACTCGCACAAAACCTCCCCATAATTTTATTCAGTCAATATGACATATTCATCCAAAAACAATGTTGTACAAATTAATCCAAAAGAGTGAGCAAGCATATATTTATTTTCAAAACAACCTGTTGCATACTTTCTACATGCGTCATCGCACATGCATGGACATGTTATCATCCATCCAGGGAATAATGCCAAAACAATCCATCCGAATTGCTTGTGGTTTAACATCAGTCTCGGCATCATTCCAACCACATGATGGTGCCCTGTGAAAAAAGCTTGGCTAGACCAGACAATCTAGTGACTAATGTGAGCATCGATCCATGATATCTGGGTACGATGACACAATTAACCAAGTCACTGGGCCTGCTAACCAATCCATTTGGTCTCCACTTCTGACAAGCATCCGAATTGTTTGTCATTTAACACAGGTCTCGGCAATATTCCAACCACATGACGGCAAGCTGGAAATAAGCTAAGACCAGGCAATCCAGTGATTGATACAGTGAGCAACGATCCACACCATCATGGTACGCTCACACAATTGACCAAGTCACAGAGCTGGACCACCAATCCATTTGGTCGCTACTTCTGACAAGCATAGGTTACTGGAAACAAGGTACAGCCTGGAATCTCCAAGAGGGGCTTTCAATGGTACTTAGGGACCGTTCATAATTTATGGCTAGGAGGGTGATGATGATGATTATTATTATTTATTATTATTTATTTTTTTATCGGGGTCCCAGCAATTTTGTACATAAAAATATGTTTAAATTTATGCTTAGAAATTATGGGAAGGGGAGGGGTCATTGATTTTGTACATGACATGGGGGGGTCACTTATTTTGTACATCAATGGGTGTGTGTGTGTGTGTGTTCCATTCACATTGTACATGCTTCTCCATAAAAATCATGAACCCCCCTAGCCATAAATTATGAACGGTCCCTTAATAAACATGCATGTTTCCTCAATGAAAGGATAAGGAGTGAAATTACACCTTTTTCTTTGCTGCACATGCAACACTGGTCAACCTGCCGGTCGTTTATTGTTCTTATTTTGTATGTGTGTCCGAGTGTGACTGGGTGAGGGAGAGAAAGACAATTTGTCTAAGGACTATCAATGAATATTCAAATGAAAACTGCATCACACACCATTGACTACTGAATACATGGCTTGTGTCTATTTGTATTGCTTGCCTAATGTACTTAATGCTGTGATAAAAATCTCATAAATGTGCAACATACACACTGACCCCACATCACTCAAACGGCAGAGAATGACTGCACTTTGAGCCCATCAGAAAGAAGTGCAACTTTCATTCTTCAGACCTCATACTTTGTTCAATATGATATTTGGCCGACTTGCATTAAGAGAAAAGAAACACAAATACTTCACTGCTGCTCATAAGAAATGCAGAATGTTTAAAGAATATATTCTGACAAATCACAATTCCCTTTCAGTATCATGTTAAAATATTTGTTTCTCACTCATTATTAGCAGTACTAACCTGAAATTTAGGAAATAATTTAATCCTTTTGCAGAGATGACAACCCTAATTTAGCCCAATTAGTCCAAAAACTGATGCAAAATTATTAATTTTTGGCCAAAATTATTATAATTTTTCCAAAGAATTTTCATATTAAATAAAAAATATATAGATATTCTAAGAACTTGTTATTAACATTGTACTCACCTGAATCAGTAGTAAGTATCGCCATATATATCTTGATACTGAATAAATGTGGTTGAAATTTATTGTGTATGTTACGTAGGATATTTGATAATTTAATTTATGTATTTTTTTTAAATTCCTACATATTTTTACTGCTATGGTAGTAACGTATTTTGTGTTGTTTTTTCGTAACGAAATACGATAAAATCGTATGGGTTGTAGTGCTGGTATTGGCATACAACCTGCAATACGATACATCGTGACACTGAAGCTGCGATACGATATGAATCCCAATATAAGGGTGGCGATACGATGCGTATCACGATACTAAAATCTTGAATTCTAACACCAACTACAAAACACCTTAAGATCAAAACAAAACCATTTTAAAGTATTTTTTTTCAAATTCCACCAGCGTTTTTCAATGTACATTCGGAAACGAGATAATTATGTTTGTGAATGTTAATAACATGCGAACGCTATGTCTGACACAGTTCTTGACGCAAGAATTTCGTCACACCACTAATGGATTGCCATCTCTGCTTTTGACCTCTTAAACTGATTTTAGGCCAAGTTTCTGTAAACCAACTAATACCAGACCTGAGGGGGTTCCATTGTGGCCACAACATCCTGCAAGCAATTATGATACCTGACAAAGCAAAAGGTACTCAAGCCAAGTGGGAAGTTAAAATATCTATGTACACATGTAAACCTAAGGCAGAATACAAGCCCAAGAGGGGCGGTTGGGTAGCCTAGTGGTTAAGGTTCACTTCCCATGCCAAAGACCTGTGTTTAATTCCCACATGGACACAATGTGTGAAGCCCATTTGTGGTGTCCCCTGTCGTGATATTGCTGAATT